AACCGCTACTGGGAAGGATTTGCTTCTGAGCTCACCATGAAGTGATGAAGAATTCAGTTTCTCCTGGAATGTTCCACTGAGGACTTCAGTTCCTCGACACGTATGTCTCTCCATATGGCAGCTGGAACCGGCAGCAGGCTTCCCTTGGGCAAGCGGGCACGAGAAAGCAAGGAGATGCCTCGATATGACGTCCCACGACTTTTCCCGAATTTCACTCCCTAGAGGTGGATCAGTAAGTCTAGCCCACGTGCAAGGAAGGCCAATATCAGGAAAGTGCGGGAACTAAGCATGAAGAAGGCACTGCTGCAGACTGGACCCCTGCCCGGTCTCTGCTGGCACTGCCAGTTGGCTGAACCAGCCAAAAGTCAGCAGTCCCCGATCTAGTCAGCAGGTTGGCCTCCTGGTGTGCACGGTAAAGGAGAAAGAGTGAAGAGGTGACCTGGAGGGACAATCAGAGAGGCCTATTACAGGAAAAATGTGCTTTCTGGGAGAGCCATGTCCACATGTGGCAGAGAGGAGACAGACTTGCAAGAATAAGTGTGTTTCGAGCATGCTAGATCGAGGCTTTTGCTGGCAGTGGGGTATTTAACATCAAAACAAACTTTCAAATAATTGCATCTCATGAAGAGCTTTAAAAATAGAAAACACATAGCCACCTCTATGAAGTGATTTGGGAGAAACTGTACTGATGAAAGGAGTGTGCGAGGTTGAGATGACTTTGAAGGGTCCTTGTAACTTGAGGATAGTGTGCCTCAGGAGGAGTGATGGAAATCAGGGAACTGGATCTCCTGCAAAATATTCGCAGCTCTTTGAAATGGAAATTAGGCTGCTCCAATTTAGGACTCCAATTAAAGCAGATATTAAGAGTGTTAGCAGGCTGTGCCGGTGCGGTGCCCGGTGCCCCTTGGAAGCAGCAGCTGGAGGAGGGAGGCGTGCTCTTTGCTGGGTGAAGCAGGACCTCTCTCTGCCTGCTCTCGTCTTTACTTAGCACCTGCTGGCTTGCAGTGGTGTCACCCAAGCAATCACACGGGGGCTGTGCCAAGAACTGCCCTGCCCATGTCTGCTGCCCTCGCTGATGCCCCGTGACAGCCTGTCCTGATATAGAGGGACTGGTTTAAAATGACAGTCTCAAGTTCGTTCAGAGAGAGAAGGCCTAATTCAAAGAAAGAGCCAGGCGGGCTTCCTTGCTCTGTGGGAGCAATTGCCGTCCCGCTGCACCATGGCCCACCTGGGAGCCCATTTTGCCTTCCGGTCCCGCTGGCAGAAGACAGACGAGGAGCTCTGTCGGTACAGCATGTCCTTTGTCCTTCACAGGGCCATCCGCGACGACTTCTTCCAGAGCTATCTCCACCTGCTGGAGAAGATCCCCCTGGGTGAGTGGGCTGAGCTGGCCAGTGAGGACAGAAGAGTAGAAATGCAAGTAGGGGTGTGTGGCTGGGGGCTTCTGCAGGGAAGGTGGCACAGGACACTGATAGAGGAAAAGACCCCACTCCAGGCCAGTGGCCACCCTGCTCCAGGGCCTTCTGTGGACCGCAGAGACCGAGTAGGGCCAGGCCGGCCAGACTATTTTGGGATTTCCATGCAGCCTCAGGCACAGGAATTTGCTTCTCTGGGTGTCCATCGCCTGAGTGTCAGGCTTTTAGAAATGCACTTGATTTTTGAAGGGCACTTTTAACATAAGCGAAAATTCAGAGCTGGGCAAACTGGGTAGCTTGAAGACAAGAGTGCTAATGCAATAAGATAGTGAGGAGGCTTTAAGAAGAAAGACTAAACGATGGTTTGGAAATGCGCTTGGAGAGTGTGTGCGCACGCACAATATTCGTGATCCTCTCTGTTCTTTTTGGGTCACAAAAATAGAGAACTTCAGAGGAGCAGATTTTAGTTTACTCTTTGAAGGGTAAGAACTGGAGTGAGCCTGTCTCCATTTTCGTTATTTCCTCTAGCTTTCAGGAATTAGAAATAGAATAATAAGGGACCAGCAGTTAGCGTAATGGCTATGTTGCTGGACTCCCACGTAGTCGACCGTGGTTCGTGTCCCAGACCCGGTGGCTTAAACTCACGCTAGGTGCATGTGTGTGCATGCCCAAGATCCCGAGAGGAGAATGGAGGAGAAGGGATTGCGGTGTGGCCATCCCCCTTGGGGGGGTGATTTCTCGCTTTCTGTCTCTCTGTCTCTCTCTGTCTTTTTGGCGAGCA